AGGGGCTGCTCTCCAGGATTCCCAGCCTGGATGGAGGCTCCATCCCATCACCCTGCACCAGGGCTGCTCTCCAGGATTCCCAGCCCAACCTTCTCCATCCCATCACCCTGCAGAGGGGCTGCTCTCCAGGATTCACAGTCCAGCCACCAGCTCCATCCCAGTTGCTTCTCCAGGATTCCCAACCTGGCCACCAGCTCCATCCCACCACCCTGCACCAGGGCTGTTCTCCAGGATTCCCAGCCTGGATGGAGGCTCCATCCCACCATCCTGCAGAGGGGCTGCTCTCCAAGATTCCCAGCCCAGCCTTCTCCATCCCAGCTACTTCTCCAGGATTCCCAGTCTGGCCACCAGCTCCATCCCAGCACCCTGCACCAGGGCTGCTCTCCAGGATTCCCAGCCCAGCCAGTTCATCAGCACGAGGCCTGGATGTCATTCCCTGAGGGAAGCAGTGGCTCCCTGTGCCCAGCTGGGATCCAAAGCAGGAGGTGACACACCCGGCACTGGGTGACCAGAACAACACCCAAATCTCCCCAGAACCATCCCTGCTTGGAGGAGGACGGACCCCACACCGCTTGGAATGTCGGATTTGCTGGATCAGGGATGAGCCCCCAGGGCTGGGGATGAGCACGGTGAGAGCTCGGGCACCCCTCCATCCTTCCGCTCTGCAACAGCACAGCACCACGGGAATTTTGGGAAAACCTCTGGCTCCTGCTGGCCCGAGGAGGAGCTCGCAGAGCCCGACATATGGCAGCTCCAGAGACAGCCTGGACCCAGCAGGGAGCACTGGCTGGGGCTGCCAGGGCCAGACCATGCAGGGAGGGCGGAGGACACGGCGTGGGACCTGCAGACCCCCCTGTTCCCGGGGCTTTGCAGCCCCCCAGGGCAGCACTGGGAGCTCCCGAGGTGCTCCTGGAGCCGGGGGTGTCTCTGCTCTGTCCTGGCAGCCGCCGGTCCCCAGGGGACGTGGGGAGCCCGCAGAACCGCCCCTTGCTCCTCCTCCTCCTCCCCTGCTCCTGCTCCTCTTATACCCTCCTCTCTCTGTCCCCTCTGAGCGTCCCTCTGCTCCTCTCTCTCCCTCCTGGTCACCTCTCAATTCTCTTCCCTTCTCCTGCTCCTCTTATACCCTCCTCTCTCCGTCCCCTCTGAGCGTCCCTCGGCTCCTCTCTCTCCCTCCTGCTCCTTTTCCCTTCTCCATTTCTCCTCTCTGGACTTTCCCCTTCACTCTCCCTCCTTCCCTGTCCCTCTCACCCGCACCCCGAGGAACCGACCCAGCACCCAAGACCCCCAGGCTGTGGCTGGACAAGGGCCAGGACCCCCCTCTCCAGATCTGGGCCCCCCCAGAGCGGACGATGCCCCTCCAGATATTCTGCACCGTCTCCTTCTCCAGCGAGGAAGGGCCCGAGGACGCCGCAGACACCGGGAAGGGAGAAGACGGAGCGGACGAGTTCCTGTATGGGCAGGAGGAGGACGAAGAGGAGGAGGATGAGGATGCAGGGGCAGCCCCGGACTTGGCGGCCTTCGCCAGCAGCTGCACCTTGCACGGGCTGAGCCACATCTTCGTGGAGGGCGGGCTGGGCGCCCGGCAGGCGCTCTGGGCTCTGGCCTTCCTCCTCTCCCTCTCGGCCTTCCTCTACCAGGTGGCCGACCGGGTGGCCTGCTACCTGGAGCACCACCACGTCACGCTGCTGGGCGAGGAGCAGAGCCCCCAGATGACCTTCCCCGCCGTCACCCTCTGCAACGTCAACCGCGTGCGGCTCTCGCAGCTCAGCCGCCGCGACCTGCTCTACCTGGCCCCGCTGGTCAATTATGAGCCCGGCACCGAGCTGGGCTTGGCCCCGGCCCTGCCCGGCCCCTGGGAGGAGGAGGAGGAGGAGGATGAGGAGGGTTGGGAGGAGGATGAGGAACCCCTCAATCTGTTTGGGTTTTTGAACCGCACTTGTCACCGGCTGGAGGACATGCTGCTGAGCTGCCGCTACCGCGGCCGGCGCTGCGGCCCCGACGACTTCGCGCCGGTGAGTGACCACGGGGTGGGCCCACGTGTGTGGGACCGGGCGTGGTGAGGGAGATGCTGCCCTTGGAGCACCGTGTGGGACCAGGGACAGCCAGGGATGCTGCCCTTGGAG